ATCATGACAATATAGGATTGTATCAATGTAGCCTAATTCTAGCTGTAAATTTAGACCAGCATCATTCCCCAGTACTGGTTCATTGTGTGTAGTAATATCAAAGGATGGTTCAGTACATGTAACAGGAACATTGTTACAATTATAAAGACTAACACATTCAAATACAATATACCTCAACCAGTTATATGAAGAAGACGAAACATGTAGACACGTGATACTAACCTCTTCATATCTATTACCATCCCTCATACCAATAATACTCACATTATTCCTCAGTAGCTGTTGCTCTAGTAGACTAGTAGTGTCTAGTGTATATGTACCAGGAGACAGGTTGATAAGGATACCTGATGAACAGTTGTATTGTAGAGTAGCAGTTCCTTGTATAGCTAGATCAATAGTAGCACAAGGTGTTTGAACTCCTCCAGTCCAACAAGAGGTATTATTGATACCATGAGATGAACTGACATAGATCCTACACTCCAAACCAGCAGCAGAATATACTAGAACAAGAGAAAGAAGAGAGACAAGAACCACTCCAGGAGACATCATTGATTCAGGGCCAATATATGCAACAGCTTACATAACACATCAATTTCAAATAGTGTTCCTATACTCCTCTTCAGGCACGAGCTTTTATTCATCAAATTATGTTAGTAAGGAAATTAGTCAAGCTTTCTTAATAACAGATAGTATAAGAAATCACTACAGTAACAATTTTTGATGAAAAGTATTTGCTAAATTTTAAAATCAGATATCAAGGAATCAAATCAAAATGACTATAAAATAAGAACATGTCAGCTTAATCATATACTATACTAATAAATGTACCTAGTGCACACAAAACACACATGATGTATACAATGATACAACCACTAGTCAACTAATAATAATAATAACTAATGAATGACTCACTCACTACAAAATAAGTAAAGTCTAAAATAGATAGGTTCATGTTTATGTAGCAATCATAGCAACAAGTGTTGCTATGACAATGAAGACAGAAGCCACAGTACCATACCCACTATTACCAGTTGGAGGATCAGTTGGATTAAGAGTACCAGCTATGGCCCTGTTGTATTGGTCTTGTGTAAACGTAAAGTCACCACAACTCTGCAGGAAATAAGGTGCTGGTGTCTTGCTATCTCCCTCATTAATAATGACTCCCATCCCCTCCAATTGATGTACTTCAATGTGACAGTGTAGAAACCACCAACCAGGGTTATCAGTCCTGAAATACACAACGGCATATCCTCCTGCCGGTATTAACAGTGTATCCTTCAATGGTGCTCTAGATCGAACTTTACCAGTTTTACCAATAGAATAATCTTTTGTTTCATTCCATTGTAATTTAGTACATAGGTATTGCCCACCACAGATGATGTCCGTATTACCAGCTGTTAGGTTTTGTATTGCTTTGCCATAGTCTCCAAATTGAATATCAACTACGTGAAAGTAATGTCCATGTAGATGTATCGGGTGTGCAAATAGGAAGTTATCTAGATTTTTTGGATCCGGTCCAATAGCTGATATAACAAGTTGAACAGAGCGATCACTGCTTACATCAACAACATGTGTACAGAAGCATTCCGGTGATAATATTTGGCTCACCTCTCTATTATCTCTGTCACACACTCTCTCATCATCCAGACCAGTACAATACCTGTTAGTGCTAATATCCTCCAATTCGTCTTTACTAGCTAATGCAAGAGCAACTGGTGGTAGCTGAAGATTCCTTGCATTGATAGCACTCGTTTGTCGAACTCCCTCGAACCCAAAATTAAAGAATAGCTTGTCATCTGTTTGTACGTCGGGTAGGGCATTGTCAGGAAGTGGAAATAGTAGGTTTAGTTGGTGAACATGCGTACAGTTTGTATTATAAAAGTCTGGAAATGCTTTAAAAGGACAATTGAGTGCATTGCAAGGTGAGTCTGATGTACACCTCTCACTGTCTGTCTCTATGTCACTAGCAATGCTTGCATACACTGTAGGGGATGGTCTTTGCTCTGTAGTATAGTGCAAGATACCTTCAGCGGTGTTAGTCTCTAACAATGACCTTGTTACGTTATTTATTTCTAGTGTTACTGCTCGTATCAGGTAATTGGCTTTTGATGAAACATCAGCTACTGATTTGGTCCTCAGAAGAAAATCGTATCTTTCCCCAGAGTGTATGATAATGTAATCAACATCAACTGGTTCAATGTACTCGCCATCTGTCGCAATGACAGTCAGGTTGTGTCTGTCTATAGAGAAACGATAAGCAAACAAGCTCTGAGCTCCAATCAATCTAAACCTGTAGACCCTGTCAGGAGACACGTCAAAAATGCTTAAATTTGCTTTATTGTACCGAACCGTATTATGCCGTCCCTTCCCATTGATTAGACCAGACCAATAAGTGACTGGTCCTACTTCTGCTCCATCAGATGAGATTGTTCTTGGAGCTTCTGCTTCTTCTGATGTCAAATCTTCTGCTCTCTCCACATCAAAGTATCTTATGCTTGAGTGTATTTGGGTAAAGAGGTCAATGGAATTTGCTTTCTGCCAGTCAAGGAGTGTTAGTGTGTGCTGACCAGGTAAATCAATGATTCTATTTACGTTCGCTTGTGCCATCACTTCTTCTATATTGTCCTCATTTCTCTCATTAACAATGAGAGCTCCAAAGAGACCGTCAGTCCTTTGTGCTCCACTGTGAGAGTGATACCAGTGCGTCCCGTATTGAGTTGCATTGAATATGTAAGTAAAGTTAGCCAGTGGTGGTATGCCACACTGTGTAATGTGAGCTACTCCGTCCATCCAGTTGCTGTTCCTTTGATGCATTCCATGCCAGTGTATAGAGATACTCTCTGATGCCAATCGATTTATCACATTCACTTTAACCAACTGGTACTGACTGACAATAAGTGTCGGTCCTGGTATTCGCCCATTGACTGCTATAAAGGAACGGAACGTGTACCCATCAACAGCAAAAGGATCAGAGCATGCTGGGTTCCCAATAGGAATGTCATCTCCACATGGCCCACTACTTCCTAATGGCCGGTAGTTACCATTGTCATCAATATACCATACTCTTCCAGCTGTACCACGGGAGTCACCATTAGCCTGATCAACCTCATAGCGTGTGAATGTCTGGAGGAGTTCTATGTCCATTTGAAACTCACACACCTCATCAGCAGTTTCCTTACACTCGCATACCGGTGTGGTGTGATCACACTTGACATATTCAGAATTAACCTGCTGACTAATGAATAAGAAGAGGCAGAGAAGACACTTAAGGGAGATCATTTTCATTCGCTTGGTTTCTGGCAGGATATGCTACTCCTAACTGTATCGGTAATACTGGCTGGGAAGTAAACCTGTTATTGCTATGATAAGGACTATGAGTTATACTAATATCATTATATGTCAAGACTATTGTAACTTGGTTACAATATTAATATAGTATGTAGTGGTTTGTGGGCTAGAGAGAGGGAGAGTAACAAGCCCAAGAAGCATTACAATCACTATGAAAATACTAGGAATTATCTTAGGGATGTTCTTGTGAACTTTTATCATATCTGTTATTATAGTGGTTGTTATTGAAGCAGGGTGTTTCATAGCATGGTGACCTAAGGCAGTATAATGTACTTACTGTTAAGGCATGTTTATGCATTTACAAATTGTTTAGTAAATTTTATATACAACTGTTCAAATAGTAATACACAAAAGGATTAAGAAGAATGAATTATGAAAGTGAATAATTCCTTCCTTTTCAATTTTGGCAAAATATTGAACCGAGACAGTGTAATAGCATAATTAACTGTAATCTCCTTCTGTCTACATTGTGCAGTTCTTGTATTAATAATGCTCATGTTGTTTATATAAAGCTAGATTCGAAATAAAGTTGACCGAGACAACATATGACAGTAGTCTACGACAACACTTACCAAATTACTATGAAAATCTAATAATCATCTTTTGTAATCATACTATAAAAGAATTAAAGTACTACAGACATGTAGGAGTAGCTCTATAGTAATTAGATCAGGAATCAACAGCTGCTTCAAAGATGGAAGTAAAAGGGGAACAACTAGCCCCTGTACTTGCAGAGTCAAGAGATTCCTTATGAACTGGTTGATTTCAATACTAATGTAAAAATGAAAAATTCCTAACTATGTAGCAGGCAGTAGTCATTATGTATCATCTCTAATGTATTTTCATTTATAATACTCATGACATTCAGTGATATAGCTCTGTTTTCCTTTTATGGATATATTTATCTGCAGTTACTGTAGTAGTTTATATTGACATTTGATGGTTTCATCTACTACTAAGTGATAACAGTACTACATGTACTGTTGCTATGGCCTATATAACTGAATAGAGAGTACCTTCTTGTGACTACTATTTGGTATTGGCTGCTTTAGATTTCTTTAGCAATGGAAGTAAAGGACGATTATAAGACACCAGCTCCTGTACAAGAGAATCCTTATGAACTGGTTGATTTCAATACTAATGTAAGGAGGAATGATGATCAATCAAGGGAAGCTACAGCATCATGGAATAAAGGATCAAAGCAGTCAACATGGAGTACACCATTAGTAGTTATTGCTCTATTGCTGTGTCTTGTAGTATTGCTACTGGTCGTAATACTTTGTCTATTACTGGTTCAATTGGCTGCTAGAGATGCTACCAGTAGCAGTAAAACTACTACTGGAGCTATTGCTGGTAACAATGAATATCCTAACTTCACTGAATGGGCTAATGATATAGTGTTTAGAGTTAACAAGAACCATCCGGAATTGGTGAACAATATTGTCTCTAAAGTTAACAGCAATGTAACAGGGAGCCTTCCTGACTTCAATGAATGGGCTAACAGTGTATCACAAAATACCCTTCAACTATTCCAGAACAATACCAACTTCACTGAACTTGATGAACAAATCTTACAAACTACAAGAGATTCTGCACAAAAGCTCATTAACATTGTCAATACTCTCTCTAATCTACAAGACACCAGTACCTCTACTGCTGGAGTGGCTGATGATATACTACTAATAGCACAAGAACTATTAGTACTACACAATGAATCAACTGCTTTACCTACCTCTTGTGAGCAAATACATGAACAACAACCTAACAGTCCATCAGGTTATTATACACTGGCAGTACCTACTGGAACATATACTACATACTGTAATATGGGAACATTGTGTGGTTCAGGAAAAGGATGGACGAGACTAGCATATCTGGATATGTCAGATGCTACACAGAGCTGTCCTTCTGGGTTTAGACTGTACCAGTCAGGAGGAGTTAGAGCTTGTGGTAGACCAGTAACAAACAGTGGTAGCTGTGTATCAGTTCAGTTCCCATCTAATGGTATTAGTTATTCTCAGATATGTGGTAGAGTAGTTGGACACTCATACAACTCACCAGATGCAGTAAACAGTGACATTGGTTTAACTTCAAATCATAACAATATCAATTCTTATTATGTTGATGGTGTTAGTATCACTCGTGGGTCTCCTCGTCAACATGTCTGGACACTAATGGCTGGACATAACAATTTTGGTCATAATGGTCGTTTCAGTTGTCCTTGTGCTAATGGCAGCAATCAAGTTCCTCAATCCTTTGTTGGTAGTCATTATTTTTGTGAAGGTACAGGAGGAAACTGGAATGATCTACTATGGGATGGTAAAGACTGTTCTTCTAGTGAAGCACTTTGTTGCTCTGCTCCAGGACAACCATGGTTTCACAGAGACTATGGTAGCACTACCACTACTGACTATATTGAGTTGAGAGTCTGTGGAGATCAAGAAACAGCAGATGAAGATGTTCCTTTTAGCTTTTATGAGATTTACATCAAGTAGAAAACAGCTTTAGTTTTGTAGTTGGCTACAGTAGCCAGATTTGTTGACAGTTTCTTAATAGTAGCAGTAATAGATAATAGTTTAGTCTAATATATATATTGTTTTCTTAATTGTATCGTAAAATTTTCTTTTCCTTCTTTTATTACCTTGCTTTCAGTAACACTAATCAATTCACTAAAAGCAAAAATTATATTTATGCTACAGATGATAGTGATAAGTATTTATAATAATATAAGTACAATGATAACATATTCTACATACTACATACTGTAATATGGGAACATTGTGTGGTTCAGGAGGAGGATGGACAAGACTAGCATATCTGGATATGACTGATGCTACACAGAACTGTCCTTCTGGGTTTAGACTGTACCAGTCAGGAGGAGTTAGAGCTTGTGGTAGGACTAACAGCAGTGGTGGTTGTGTATCAGTTCAGTTCTCATCTAACAGTATCAGTTATTCTCAGATATGTGGTAGAGTAACAGGATATCAATATTATGCTTTTGCTACAACTGGACCAGTCAATATTGATTCTTTTTATGTTGATGGTGTTAGTATCACTCGTGGGTCTCCTCATCAACATGTCTGGACACTAATGGTTACTGGTATAACTGACTCTTACAATTATCCTAGCATATGTCCATGTTCAAGAAGAAGCACACAAACTGTCCCATCTTTTGTAGGAAACCATTATTTCTGTGAGTCTGGTAATCAAGCTATGAGTTGGGCTAATATTCTCTACACATCTGATCCACTCTGGGATGGTCAAGGTTGTGGTTCTCTTGAATCACCTTGTTGTAATATTCCTGGTATCCCATGGTTTCACAGAAACTATGGTAACACTACCACTACTGACTATATTGAGTTGAGGGTGTGTGGAGATGGTAGCGTCTATATTGATGAGGATACTCCTGTTAGCTTTTATGAGATTTATGCCAAATAATTGATTATATATTGGTTTTTTCTAACTGTATATACATGCATATAAACTGTGAAGTGATGCTTTAAATCTAATTTTGTTATTTTTCTAAAAATTAATTTCATGCAATGTCCAAGTAGTAAACAGGAACAGTAGTGAATAGCCAATTGGCAGACTGTCAAATATTGTATTCAACAAACTATTGGCTATAACTATAATAAGATCAATACAGATACAGTTGTTTAGTTACATTGGAGTTGTTCATTGTTATACTGCCAGTGACAATGGCTAGCCTAAGTCCATCCACTTCTGAGTCCTTTAAACTCATAGATGTTGAGAAAGGAAAGAAAAAGAAAGAGAAAGAAGATCCTCACTATTATGAGCAGCTACGGATGAGCAGCAAAAGAGAGACTGATGATGGAAGAAAAGTCAAGAGGAAGAAAGAAATTGTGACGGTTAAGAAATCAAAGGAGAAGAAGAAAGGTAGCCTATTGAAGAGAGGTTTAATTGGAATAAAAAATGCTGTCAAAGGTTTTGCAAAGAGCGATATATACACAAAGCTCCAGGCTGGACTCCAAGCTGTAATACTGGTAGCAATGGTACCATTGCTTGGCCTCTCTGGTAGGATATTACATCAAACATTACAAGAGCCAGTTGCTATGAATACATCATCAAGTGTAATGGAGTTTGCTCAAGAAGTTAATGCTGCAATAGAGCAAGTACTGGGGAATGGTAATGTTACTAATAAAGCATTGGCAGAGCTAGCAAATCAAGTGATGACAGCCAATATGGAGCTCAGTGAACAAACAAATGATATAATCAATACAACACAGAGGACTGGAGCTGATATTGATAGCATTCAATTGCTGGCTTTACAAGAAATGGATAAATCTAATAACGAGTCACTCATCCTCGAAGAGCTGATTAAATCAACAACTGCTACTATTAATAGACTCAACAACATAACAGCTACACTGTCTATTTTTAGTAACAACAGTGAATCGTCTACTGAAGCAATTAAAGATCTATTAACTGTTGTTAATGAATTGGCTAGATTACAAAACGTGACAGATCAATTGGTAAAGGAGCCGATGTCTTGTAAGGAGATAAAGTTAAGGCTACCAAACAGCATCACTGGCTACTACTTTATTAATAATCACACCATCTACTGTAATATGGAGGAGCTGTGTGGTTCAGGAGGAGGATGGACAAGACTAGCATATCTGGATATGTCTGATGCTACACAGAACTGTCCTTCTGGGTTTAGACTGTACCAGTCAGGAGGAGTTAGAGCTTGTGGTAGACCAGTAACAAACAGTGGTAGCTGTGTATCAATTCAGTTCCCATCTAATGGTATCAGTTATTCTCAGATATGTGGTAGAGTGTTTGGACACTCATATGAGACACCAGATGCAGTAGACAATAACATTGGGTCAAATCATAACAATATTAATGGTGATTATGTTGATGGTGTTAGTATCACTCGTGGGTCTCCTCGTCAACATGTCTGGACACTAATGGCTACTGGAGCTGAGATTTTTATTAGTGGAGGTCACTATAATTGCCCTTGTACTAATGGTAGCAATCAAGTTCCTCAATCCTTTATTGGCAGTCATTATTTTTGTGAAGGTGCAGGAGAAAACTGGAATGATGTACTATGGGATGGCAAAAACTGTTCTTCTGATGAAGCAT